AAGAAACTGGAGTGCGGAGCAAAATGTTTAATCTTAGGAAATTGAAACGCAAGGTGAACGAAGTGTTCTAAAAACCGCAAAACCTCTCGTTCCTGTTTTCCCGGCTAGTATAAAATTAATGACGTTACCGCTTGGCATTTGCCGCGGCTTGTCTCTTCGTTAACCTCACCAACTGATAATGTGGGAAGCCCAAACGTTTTTAACGTAATTCATGAATTAATAAAAGGAATTGGAAATAAGAGCGATTTTTAATCGAGTGCCGAAAAAACCAGAATCAAATGTAAATACCCTGGCCGGTGAAAAAGGTACAGACAATCCAGTTAACAAATCAAACATTAAACTCCAACAGAATACATGAAAACGGCACAAAGCGCGAGACAAAGTGTATGAGCGAGTCGCAATTGATTTATTGAGCCAATCACAAAACGTCGTAATGCAAAACCAAGATGCCTGACGTGGAATGAGCAATAACCACATTGACTACCAGTTATACGTTTGTGCCTGTCAAAACATGTTCAGTATTCTTTACTTTCAATTTCAACGCCAGCGATTCGGGTTTTGAGCTCGTGGAGACCTGGGGCACCTTCCATTCAACCAAAACTTCCGAAAATTTCGAAACGGAGATAGGATGGTTCGAAAATGTCCTGGAAAGGGTTCCAGAAATTTCGGAAATTGTTGAATTTCCGAAAAGCGAACCATTCAACCAATTAAATGGAAAATCGGAAATTCCTGGTAATAAATTTCCTCTTCCAAAAGTTTCGGAAATGCTATTCCATTAGTCCCTAGAAATTTCCGGAAATTCAAACCAAAAATTTTCGTCGAAAGGAAAGAGATCCAGGTATAGGTTATGAAATGGCGAAGCCTCTTTCCCTCAAGTTTTCCATCTCTACCTGAATATTTGTTTTATTCCACGTAGTGATTGTCACTGGGAAACCTTTTTTAAAGTTCTAAAAATGAAAGTATTTCTTTGATAAAGAACGTGACTGATTTTATTTTACGGCTCGACAACAGTTTGAAACGTATTAATTTTGACTCGACAACACTGGTGCAATAAACTTGCAATGCCTATGAAGGTCTATGAAAAAAGAAATAACTTAAGGCCTCAGCTGAACATTGATCCTAAGGCACCAGTCCACACTACGCCGGAGAAATTTGAAAACGCAGCTTTATTTCTATCGTTAGGCCGAACGTCCACACTCAGAATCCATCACTAAAACGGAGCTTTTCTAAAACGGTCTTCAAACCGGAGGAATTTGGGAACGCCGGCTTTGCGTTTCAGTGCGAGCTTTTCCAAAACGATGACGTAATGATAATCACGTGATTTCCTTGCCCGAGTTTTCCTCAAACACAAATCCATAATGACCTATGACCGTTGCGTTTTCAAATTTCTCCAGCGTAATATGGACGGAAAACATTTGATGCTTTTTCAGAGTGAAAAAGGCCGTTTTCAAATTTCTTTAGCGTAGTGTAAACAGGCCCTTACAAAAGAGACTGGATACTATGGTAGTCAATTTCAACTTCAGACTTAACTGCATTTGAAACAACAACAACAACAACAACAACAACAATAACAACAAAACCCAGTTACTTTTGTATGGACAAGAAAAAGTTATGAGTGGCTTTTGCATTATGTTGCACTGCAAATGACCAAACACATCCTTCTCATGCTACAAAAAAAAAAAGAAATAAATAAAAATAAAACAGCATAACATAAAAAAAAATTTAAAAAAATTATATCGAAGAAATTATTAGACCCTCTTATGAAACTTTTACTGATACATTTATTTACAATAAGAAATGCAGCTAAATTTGAAATCATAAATATGTCATCGCTAATGCCTCAAGCAAACGTTGAATGTTATTTACTGGATTTTCAGATAACAGTCCTATCTAGGTTTTCTTTTTTGTAAAAGGATATTAATAAAAAACAACAACCAAGGAGGAATATAGAGGATCAGTGAAAGAGTAGAACCATTAAATGGTTTACTTCAGTCTTCAATTTGAGGCACTGAGGGCCGGAGTCGCCCTCTCAAAAGAAGTTGCTCTGTTTTCTAAGGAACATAAGTTGAGTGAATTTAATTCAAGGCAATACGAAACAATTGTGTTGTAACTTGAAATTAAGCTGTTTGGAGCACCGAGGTTATTTGCTAAGAGAAGCACAAACGTTCAATTTCTATTCCAAACTCCTCGCCGCTGTCTCCGATGTCATACGCTGCTATGTCGAGGATGGGAAGGCGATAAGGCTTAGGCGTGTCCACTTCTAAGACAGTGTGATGCCATTTGCCATCCTTTACCTGCAATTAACCAAGCGGAGATGTAATTATTACACATGAAGTTCTTCATAACCTTAAGCTTGATTATTTTGACCGTCCTTATCCTAGACATACCTCTTTTTACCTGGACGAAAATACTATTTTGCACTGAGTTTTTCTTTTTTTTTCCCCATTCATATCAAATGCTCATAATATGACATAACATCATTTCAATATTATAAGCTCACCGAACACCCATCTAGGATGAGCTTGGGTTTAAATTTGTTTGAAGACTTCGCGTGCATTTCAACTCCATTGTCAGCCTTGATTTTAATGGACTTGGATAACCCGTTGTTCTTATCACCCCAGGCCACCGAGTCTTTGCAGTTGTACTTAATTCTCTGCCTGGCTCGGTCACTCAGCAAACGGAGAAATTCTAATTGACTGGGCTCTGCCACATATTCAATCTGCAAGGAAATCACAACTTAATTAGTATCTGGGCAAATGTCAAGCAAACGGATTGATAACCCTGAAACTAGAGCCCCTTAAGCTCGTTTACTAATTACCTCTCGGAGCGTATGAAAGGGACTGAGGAAATTATGTTTTGCCATTTGAACTCGACAAGATTATTATTCACGTTATTGCAGGAAACATTCATCGGTCCGGAAAAGTTTACCGCGAAAATACCAGAAGATTATGACAATAATCAGTATATTTCACAAATTTTGATTCCACTTAAAAATTGAATAACCAAAATAAATAAATGAATGGGTAAGTCAACTGATATGTATACTAGAAATATGTTGCATATCCATGCATCGAAACAATATTGATAAGCTTAGAAGGCTTTGATTTTATTTGAGCTAGTCTTTCAATGAGTTTTGGGCATGGACACTTTGGTTTCAGTCAGGTAGAGTATGCAATCAACTTCATATGGATATAAAAAATTGCAATAATTATAGAGGAAGCCACATCAGCCTTTTCATGCGGGTTCTCTATCCTGGTCAATTGGAATTTGGAGATGTTGGGTTTTGTGGAGGGAGGAAAACCCGGGTTCTCAGTAAGAGCCCACAACAAACTTAACCCACATATACATTCCACCAATAAACTGTACGTACATTCTTAAGCATGCGCAGATCCTCTCTGAGCCACTTGTATCCATCAGCGCCCGTGAACCATTTCTTATTTCCTGTAGTGTACGCCTAGAGAGAAGAAGCATTTGGGAAGAAGACATACAAGACGAATCAAGAAGACACAAGACACAGTTTCAAATGAGTTATAGCAAAATTAATATGAATATAGTCGTTTCTTCCTCCCCGTCGTCATCTCAATCATGACCGGTAAGGACACTGATGACGATTGGCACTATCCATTTAACCAAAAATTCTGAAACTTTGAAAGAGAGACAGATGGTGCGAAAACTTCCTTGGAAGTTTCCGGAAAATTTCGAATATTGCCGAATATCCAAAATGCGAACCATTCAACCGAAAATTCCTGTAAGACATTTCGGTTACAAGAAATTTTTGAAATTTTGGGTATACTTCGCGAGGTTGTCGGGAAATTCAAACGACAATTTTTCATCGAGTGGAAACGACTGATAACGACGAGTGCAGGTGCATTGAAACTTCACTGAACAGAGGCATTATAATGCTAATTTTAGAACGAGCTGAAGAAATTTTCACAACCCACTTTCCTTCTGTCACGATTTTATCAAGAGACTACTCCCGCCTTAGTGTTGACTTCGCAGGGCGGTAGCCGAAAGAAAAAAAAAAAAAAAAAAAAACAGAGATTACCTCGCTGTTGTTTACGGGATACAGACAGGTTGATTTAGTGTGGTATTCGCAGCGGACTTTTATGGCATCGTTAGGTAAGCCATCGTTGGGATCGATCCAGTAAGAGCCTTTAAAAAGAACAAAAAGTATAATAGTATCAAATGGTATACACAGCCACCGGTAAGAAGGTGCATGATGAACAAATCTAAGATAAATTGTGAAGTAAAAACAGCATTTCGTTGTTATGATTCATGGTACTTGGTTAAGTTGTTTCATATATGTATACCCTGCTGTAATATCAGCGTTTTGAACAAAAATATTTCATATAACTAATAGGCTATAATTATCATACCACTTGGAAGGTCAGGATAAGACATGTACAAGTCTTTACAGGTCCTTGCGGGGAATTTATCTGTGCCATTTGGCTTTTTCAACATTTCAAGTTTTTCCTTCACTAGAGTGACAAAATTTGATAGCTGAAATGGAAAAACAGGGATCAGAATTACGACAATTGAAAGAAACAAAAACAAACAATAACAAAAAAAGTGAAACTGTAAAACTAAAACTTACAGGATCAACGTCCTCCTCTTCAACCTTTAATTTTTAAAGGATAAAAAAAATATATATTTACTCCGTTAAATTTTATTTGACATAAATTATAAGAGATTGCAGTCATATGTAAATGAGAAAGATGATATGATTCTGTGAGACGCTCTATTGTGGAGTTAAGGACATACATTACAGCTTCTGTTGGTTGGCATAGCGCTCGGTGGTTGGTTTTTAAGTTCTGCTTCACTTGCTGAACTTGCCAGCTGTCGACGATAACTTTTGATAGTGATACATTTTTTTAGACCTTTTGACGTTAACAGCTTTAGAACGACGTGGCTAGTTTCCGTTAAAGGGAGACGCGCTTAGCCAAGTAATCGTTGGAAAGAGCACTAAATCTAACCGCTTCGGAGCTTTGCAATAACGGGTAAATAATTTATATTGCCCGTTGAGGTAGGTTACAATTAAAACCGCCCTTTAATTTTGCTGCAATTTGTAAATTTTCGAATACAAGTACTGCAAGTCTTTAGCGTAAAGAGACCTTCGAAAACAGAGAAATATAACAATCTACTGTTGCAAACTACACAATTGAAGTTCAATGACCTTTGCTGTCTGTTGGCTTCTGTAAAGGTTTACTGTCCCTGCTTTCTCGGCCGTAACTGGTGGGTCACGTGATGCCTCAGTAAGTTGTCCGAAACCAGTGTACCCTGAAGAAGTCTAAGAAAAACGTCGTCATTGCAGTTTAGGTAGATCCGCAGTAAATACCCAACACAAAACTACAACAACAACAACAACAACAGCAACAATAACAACAAAACAATTGAAGATACTAGCTGGTCGCTTACCACTAAATCTCCGATGGAAACCTGCAAAGGAGACAAAACCAGACGACATTAAGCAGGCAGCACATATATAACACGATATCCATTCCGTGGATGGCAATCAGCAGATACAACATAACTGCATGTTTCAACCGAAGGATAGCTGTAGAACTTCTGATATAACTCCATTTGGGAGAGAACGCTAAACCATCAACTAATCGATCTAAGCAATGAAAAATTTGCTGCACTTTTGTACTTTACGTACCTAAATGAAAGTGAGTCCATGATAACTTAGAGTTTTGTCAAACTCAACAAACAGAGAGACAATTTTACGTGTTTTATTTTTTGAACTTAACAGTGTGAACGAAGCGTACTTTTAACTGCTTTACATAAGTAGGCCATGTTACTTGGTAGTTACAGGTATAGATATAGGGCAATCAAGGATTTACACTACTCGTGATATTTGAAAATTCTCAAATATCACGAGTGGTGTAAATCCTAAATTGCTCGAGTTTTTACACGATTACTCATTTATTACATGACTGAGGAAATTACGGACGCGCGCGCATAATATCCACTGCAGTACAAATTAAAAATTCACGATAAATAGACCTGCTCTCAGCCAATCACAATGAAGCGCTTTTTTGAGTCATAAAATGGAAACCATGATGGACTCGTGAATTCAACAAACGAATACGTACTCACCGGTTGACCTGGAGGTCCAGGAATTCCAGGATCCCCCTGTGAAAGGTGAAAGTCAAGATATTTCAGCACGGAACAAAGTCAATATCTACCTTGCCACCATTACATACCCGATATAAAAATGGGCCGAATCCTCAGTTTCAAAAACAAAAGGTTTTTTAAAACAAAGATTTTCATTCAAAATAAACCAAACGTATCAACCTAACCTTGGCCGCTGAGCCAATTTACCAAGTTTACCGAGTTTGTTTACCAAGTCGGTTGCCTCTTCATTGTCTCTTTACCTGACAAATGGTGATCTAAAATTAATTTGATGGTAACTAACGATGAACCTACCCGTAAACCTTCGTCTCCCTAGAATAAAGAAGAAACGCGAATATTAGATTGTTTCGCCAACGTCATTAATTATACATGTACATGCTAATAGTAAAGGAATCATATTAAGGGGCCGATTTCGAGAGATTTTAAACTCCAATTTGGCTCTGGAACTCACATCATCCCTAAACCTCGATGTTATTCCTTTTGTTTCGTTAACTTGAACCTCGAATCAGAAACCTTTTTTTTATAAGTATTAAAGGCAATGTAGTTTGTGGACAAAATTAATCAACAAGACGAAAAGGCCGTTCGTGTCTTGAAAACTGAATAGTGCACACAAAATGAGTGTTAAATGAATTATGTTTTTTGGGGGGTGGATAGATAATGCGTGAATGGTCGGGAGGGAAGGATTGGCACTAATTCAGACGATGTAAAATGGTAAATGGGAAACGGGAATATGGAATTAACCTTTTTCAGAGACTTTTCAGTGGACTGAATCGAAAATTCGAGTTCAATTTACATCCCAGCAGCAATTTTCGGCAGCAATTTCTTTTAACGTAAAACAACCAATAACTATATTCAGGTATCCATAAATTCTAGTACACTTTCTACGCTTCAGTTTTATCTCATTTTCGAAACATCGCCGTCGTGTAACACAACAAAAATCAAAGTAGCTGGTCTTAGTTACGCACAAAGATGAGTTGATAATAAAGTCCTGAACTGCATGAATGAGTCAACTTTTAGGGCTCCACTGGGAAATACCTGTCTTCCACGGTCACCCTAAGGAAAAAAAAAACAAAGATACCATGAGTTATCAGTGCAAAATCTGGGTACCGTCTGTATGCGCGCGTTGAAGATAATTAATGAACTTTATATCAAGTGGAATGGCCTAGCTTTAGTAAGAAAATGGGCACAAAACTCGGGGGTGGGGGGTTGTCGTGGCAAGTATTAGCATGATATGCCACCTCAAAAAGAGTACTGACAATCGAATAGGTTTAAACGTTTGATCTAAAAAAATCTACTACTATTTACCTTCGTTCCTAATTGACCAGGTGGACCCATTGCACCCTGTAAAACAAAAAAAAAAAAAGTTTATCTTAAACGTTGGATTTTCCTCCGCTAATTAATTAACGTAATTCCGTGTTCCAATTGTGTATCACACTTGATGGGGTATAGAGCCCAGCTACAAATTTACTGAAAAATATTACTTTTAAGGTGGCTAGATGTTATTTAGGCAAAGTTAATCTCGAGCCAATGCAGTCAGCGGTCACCCCCATCTGCCTACGTGACCTGCGGGTTGACCTCAAGAGCTTGAGGCTGGCCTCGTGACCTTCATGCGCTTGGTGTTGCATTTCAAGCCGATCTTCGCGAATCATTTGCTGTTTTGAGCCGATCTTTGCGGATCTCTGGCTACTGACAAGTAATCAACTTTACTGTGAATCATGGGTTTAGGTAAGTATAGTGTAAGGTAAATATATTTGTCCACTGAACTCCTTTCAGTGCGCCGTTGCCATGGATACCATGCTGTGCCTGAAGTGCTCAGGCTCCGGCAACTTATAACGCAGCAGCTACCAAGCTCATCTATTGGTGATGAGTTTAACCCGCTATGAAACCGCGTTATGGACTTTGATAAGCACAGTATTTGACCGGGCTAATTCCATTAAGTACATGGAGGAGGAGAGAATCCGGATAAAATTTATGAATGTAATGCGACCAAAACAAACAATTAAAAGAGTTTGCTTCAAACTGGTAAGCGTCACATTCTTATTCTAAATTGAAATAGTATATAGGAGGTAAAAGACTTTTTAATTGACATGCCCGTAGCTCTAGTTAATTGGTTTGAAGTTGGAAATAATAATACGTTAGCAAAACAATTCAGTTGTATTGTCTGCTATTTTCTATCACAATAAATTACCGCCGACTATGTAAATCAAACCATATTCATTCCTTATCATTAACGTTATCGTTGTACCACTTCGCCTTGTTCTCCGTCGTTTCCAGCAAGTCCCCTCTCACCGTCAGATCCCTGAAGGAATAGAGAGGAAATTACCGCCGGAAACGATCAATGCCATGACTCATTACATACTAACGTGCCATACAATGAATTTGATAACGATGATGATGATGATGATGACGACGATGACAGAGACAATGATGCTGATGACCCCACCGATGGCGGTGGTGATCGGCATATTAAGGAAATTCATGATTTAGGTAAACAAACAGTAAAATCGTTGTGTTCATGTTAGTAGATTACGTTCAAAAATTAATGTAAGGTGCCAATAGTCAGTGGCTGATATTTCAATCTTTATATCACTACCTGTGCGCCTTCCTCTCCATCATCGCCTCGAGGACCAAATTCTCCTTGCTGGCCCTGGTAAAGATCCACAGGAAAAAGCGAGGTCATATTTAGATGCCGTAAATCCTCGAATTAGCGCCCCCACCTCCCTCGAATAAGCACCTCCTTCGAATAATCGTCCCTCCTATCGCTCAAAATTTAAAATAAGCGCCCCCCCTCGAATAAGCACCCCCTCCCCTTCCCCTATTTTATGGACGAGTACTGAGACAACGAAGGATGTATAGTTTTCGTCATGTAGCATTAGATTTGCATTATTTCAGTTTGTGAACACGTTAAGTGAACACGTTGAACACGTCAGGGTACTAACGGTGNTAATTCAGTTGTTAAAATAAATGAAATGAGGTAAACATCGCAATGTTTTGTTATCGGGAATTCTAAATTCGACACAAGTAACGCAAAATACGTTGTGACGTTACCTTTTTTCTGCATATCGAAACACACGAAAGTAAGTGTCTTAATATATCTTTTACCTTCGTTAATAAATTCCATTGGAAAAGAGGTCTTTGGGTATATTCTTGAATTATGTTTACTCAACAAAATGTAAGTTAATTAAGGCTTCATCGCAATTGCTACATTCATAAAATAGCCAACAGCTTGTGCCATAACACTTACGTCATCACCGCTTATTCCATCATTACCCTGCTCGCCTTTCGGCCCAGCAGAACCTTGGGGTCCCTGTGATCCTTGCGGGCCTTGTAATCCCATGTTGCCTTGGTCTCCCTGTGGTTATGGATAGAAATGGACAATGACATAAAGGCCGAGTAACAAGAGCAACGTTCTCTTTCAACTTACCGCGCGCGCACCATATGTGCATCGCAAGTTGAAAACCGTTGTTATGCGTATTACCATCTGTTGCAAGTTACACAGCTACTTTTTACTCAAAGTAGAACTCTTGTCTATTTCAAACAACTTGTTGCTGCAACATGCAACACTGGAGTCAATATGCGCAGTTACGCTTCTCAACTTGCGATGCAACAATGGTGCGGGACAATTTTAAAGAATATGTTGCCTGTATTACTTCGCATAATGCCCGGCGACGAACTGAAAAAAAAAAAAAAAAAAAAA